AATACTTTCGTATAAAAATTTATAATTTTTTTCATTTATTTACTGGAAGACTTTTTGCAAGTCTTCCGATTCATATTTTTTTCTTTTGTTCACCGGAAGACTTATTGAAAGTCTTCCGGTTCACATTTTTTTTCGTTTGTTCACCGGAAGACTTTTTGCAAGTCTTCCGATTCATATTTTTTTCGTTTGTTCACCGGAAGACTTTTTAGAAGTCTTCATATTCATGTTTTTTTTTTAAAATTTTTAATATTCTACTTTTGATTTGAATTCATGAATAGAATTAAAATACAAACGTTAAGATGATTAAAAATATTATAATATTTGACAATATTATATAATGTTAATTTTAATTTTTAATAAATTATATGATAGGATAGTAAATCAAAAAAAAATTATAATTGACAATATTAAAAATTAAAAAAAAAAAACATGAACCGGAAGACTTCCAAAAAATCTTCTGGTGAACAAACGAAAAAAATATGAACCGGAAGACTTGCAAAAAGTCTTCCGGTGAACAACCGAAAACAAATGTGAACCGGAAGACTTCCAAAAAGTCTTCCGGTGAACAAAAAAAAAAAATATGAACCGAAAGACTTGCAAAAAGTCTTTCGGTGAACAAATAAAAAAAATTATAAATTTTTATACGAGGATATTTTGGTCTAAAAAATATTAATGTAGAAGTATGAGTATAATTGTAGGGGCATGAGATAAAATTTCCTGAATAGAGTGGATAAACAAATGAATTTATAAAATAAAGCAATTAAAGTTAAACCAAAAAAGTATTAGAGAAATCATTACTAAAGTTTTTATTACAGCTTCCATTTGCTTCTCTATCTTGTATTCTCTCTTAATTTCTTTAATTTCCGAAGTGTATTATGAGGAATGGATTGCTTTTATAAATATGTTAAATGAAAAGAGAAGTGGATTGTTTTTAAAAATATTTACAGTAAATAAGAGTATTAAAATTAAGAGTTACCATCAATTTTATATATAAAAATTGTTAAATTATTTAGTTTAATAAATTTTAGAGTCAAAATTGAGGATATACTTGTAAATTCTCATTATTCTATTTATTTTTTTAATTATTTATTAATTTTTTTTATAAGTAAGAATAACATTCCAATAAAAAGGCACAAGGGTGCTCACTTTTTTACAAACAATGAAACTAAAGGAAAAAGAATAACACGATAAAAATCGACCTACAACACCCAATTAAGAAAAAGGAAACTACCACCTACTTGTAACACTTGTCCAGATTACCACACCAATTCAACCAAGAGATATCTCTACATTTCCTAGAAAAAACAATGAACCACTCCCATGAAAGAAGAATAATCATGCTCAAAACATCCAAGTCCCTAAAGATATTTCTTTTAAAAAGGATCGCATTCCTACAAGACCAAATAGACCAAACAAAAACTAAACCAAAGAACCAATATGAATTTGCGAAATTAATACTATGGAGTCTTTCCAACAAAGGACCCGAAAGGAAATCCTTACCCACCCCAACCCACTCACACAACTTTGACCAGATAAAAAAAGAAAAAGTGCAAGACCCAAACAAATGCTCAACATCATTTTCTTCCAAAAAGCATAAAGAGAAAACGACGTTGTGCACTCCTTGAATAATATCTCTCTTTGCCAATTCCATCCTCGTTGGCAATTTGTCAAAAAGAATCCGCCACCCAAAAATATGCACCTTACTCGGGATTTGAGATGACCATAAACAGGCTAACACTTTTGTTAGTGAATAATTCACACAAGGCACCACAACACTCGCTTCATAAATCCTCTTGTAACTATCATTAACCGAGAAGCCACTTTTATCCCTCCACCATACAAAACAATCCTCTACACTATCAATCGGTTTCACACCATGCAAAATATGCATCAACTCCTCTAAAGACGAACTCTCATCAGCATTCAAAACGACCCCATTAAGACCAATATCACACTTCCAAGTATCAATGCACCAAACCCCTGCATCACACACTCAAAGATAAGACGAACCACAAAGCCAAAATAAAGAAGGGAAGAGAAGATTAAAAGAGGAGGATCCTAGCCAAATATTCCTCCAAAAGTCTAAAGTCTTCCCATTCCTAAGCTCGCACGAAACTGAAGAAGAAAGCTAATTGGATTGCAAAAAATCAGAATTCAAAGGATCCCCAATTACACACACATTCCTCCACCACAAAGACTCCTTACTACTCACACAAGACCCACCTAAAACCGCCAAATATACATTGCCATACCTAGCCGATAAAATATCAGACCACAAAGAAGAACCATCATTAAGAACCCTCCACTTCCACTTGCTTAACAAAGCGAGATTAAACAACCCGCAATGTTTCACCCCTAAACCACCTTCCTCCTTAGATAAACAAACAAAATCCCAACTAACCCAATAGACAAAAGAAAAAGAAAAAGATCTCTTTAAGAACCACCTTAGGAGCCTTATAGAAGGAAAAGAAAAAGATGGAAAGGTTGGATAAAATAGAATTCAAAAGAACCACTCTACCTCCAATAGACAAAAATTGGTTATGCCACACTGCCAACCTCCTTCTGATTTTGGAAACTAAAGGCACCTAGGATGTATTCCTCCGAGGATTAATGCCGATGGGAATGCCCAAAAATACAAAAGGGATCAATCCGAATCTACAAGACAAGAAGGAAACAGATGCCTGCAAGAAATCACTATCAAGATTAATCCCAAATAAAGTACTTTTGGATAAATTCACACGAAGACCCAACACAAATTCAAAACCTCTTAGAAAAGCTTTGATTGACCATAAGTTAGTTTAAGAACCTTCCCTAATCAACACAATATCATCAGCAAATTGTAGCAATCCAACATGAGTAGAAACATTGAGATGAAAATCCTAAAATTCCTTTAAAGACACTGCTTGAAACAATAAACCAGAAAAACCTTCTGCCACCAAGAGAAAAAAGGAAAGGAGAAAGAGGGTCTCCTTGACGAAGAACTTTAGAAACCTTAAAATCCTTCATATGACTCCCATTCACAAGAACAAACATGGAACTATTAAACACCAAGGCTTCCATCCACCCGCACCACCTAACACCAAAACCCATTTTCTCAACACACTTCTAAGAAAATCCAAAGAGACACAATCATAAGCTTTTTCAAAGTCCACTTTATCAAGCAGACACTTCCTCTTCGCCCTTTTGGCAAAATCTACTACCTCATTCAACACCAGAGCACCATTCAACAATTTTCTATTAGCAACAAAAGTAGATTGACACTTGAAGGTAAGCTTGTGGATGACTAACTTCAATCTATCTGCAAGAAGCTTAACAAAAATCTTATACACAATCCCCACTAAGTAAATAGGCCTAAACTCATCGAGCGAAAGATGATTATCAACTTTAGGCATTAAGGCAATAAAAGACGCAGTAACCGCTTTCAGAACTCTATGAGATCTATGAAACTCCTCCACCTCTCTCATAAGATCACCTTTGACAATGTCCCAACAAGCCTTGAAGAAACTTAAGTTAAAACCATCTAGACCAGGACTTTTATCCCCAACTCCCTTCAACGCAACCAATTTAATATCATCAAGAAGGAACATCACCTCAAGCAAACCTCTATCACCGTCATCCAACATCCAAAAAAGAAGACCAGACAAAAAAGATCTTAAAGCAACATACTCATGAAACCTCTCTTCAAAGTGCCTCTTGACATCCTTCGTAGAATGATTAATAATTTTTTTTTTTCATTTTAAAAATATACACTCGTTATTATTCAATATTATATTATTACTTAATAATAATAGACTAATAATTACTACTGAAGTCTGTAGCTTCCATTTGTTTCTCTATCTTGTATTCTCTCTCAATTTTATTTTTTTATTTTCTAAATGTATTATGAGAAGTGGATTGTTTTTAAAAATATGTTAAATGAGATATTTGTAAATTTTTATTATTCTAATTATTTTTTAAATTATTTACTAGTATTATTTTTTATACCAACTATTTTTTAATTAATAAAATATTATTTCTTTTTTCCATTTTTTCATTTTAATTATATAAAAATACACACTCATTACTATATTATATTATTAATTAATACCAGGACCACCACTGTCACTCTACCACTAACATACTCTATTATCTCATAAAGAGATAATATTTATTAATTAAAAAAATTAGTTAGGAGGACAAATAATACTAATAAATAATTATAAAAATAAATAGAATAATAAAAAATTACAAATATATCTTTAATTTTAGCTTCAAAAAAATTTAATAATTTAACAAATTTTATAAAAAGATAATATTTTATTAATTAAAAAAATGGTTAGTAGGACAAATAAAACTAATAAATAATTTAAAAAATAAATAGTATAATATAAATTTCAAATATATCCTTAATTTTGGCTCAAAAATCATTAAAGAGTTTAATTGATATGTAATTTTACATTATCATTTAATAAAAATTTATTAATCTAACATGTCATACCATTAACTTAAAAATAACAGTCTAATATGGCAAAATACACGAATGTGATTGGTTGAAAATTCATTATTAAATCACTTTTATATATATATATATATATATATATATATATATATATATATATATATATATATATATATATATATATATATATATATATATATATATATATATATATATATATATATATATATATATATATATATATATATATATATATATATATATATATATATATATATATATATATATATATATATATATATATATATATATATATATATATATATATATATATATATATATATACTCTTCACACTATTAAAATTTAGTTTTTTTTTTCATTAGGTAGAACAAGGATCTACACTTTGTAACCGTATAATACGAATAGTATAGTAATTGTATACAGCTACTCGTATTCTACATTTGGTTCCCGAGAACAAATTTTCGGTGCCGTTTGTCTCTCTCTACTTAGACTCTCTTCAATCAAATTGAACTCAAACTCAGATACAACAACCAATTCACCATGAACACAGTTCCTTCTTCTACTACGATCCTTCTTCATTCACGCCCTTTTTTCAAATTCAATAAACCATTTCGTAACAATTCACATCCCTCCTTCCAAATTCTTGAACTCAAACGCAACTTCAATTTCAAAAGTGATTATAGAAAAAGTTCTTGCAAAGCGGTCTTCTCCGACGAGGCACCTTTCGCCGCCGCGATTGGTGCTTGTATGCTCACGTCTTTGGTTTTTCCGATACCTGTTGCCACCGAAGAAGAGGAAGAATCGGCTATCACTTCAACGGATACTAGGTTGGCAGTTATGGGAATAATGAGTTTCATTCCGTACTTCAATTGGCTTGTAAGTTAATTCCACCTTTCGCAATTTCTCGTTCTCGTTTAATCATTCTCTTGCTGAAATTGATTTGATTGATTGGTTACAGAGTTGGATTTTTGCGTGGATTGATACTGGAAATCGACGTTATGCTATTTACTCGCTTGTTTATTTGGCTCCTTATCTCAGGTATTTGCATTTGTTTTTCCATTTCTCTCTTATTTGAGTTATTTCTATAATATTGTTTGTGATTTGAGTTAGTTGCATTTTTATTGTTATCACATGCTGTGTCGAACTTGTGATTTGATTCCATTACTGTGTTCTGTTTGGATTGGTATAATAAACTGAATTTGTCTTCTTATTTGGTTCATGAAACCTTTTTAACATGAGATGCAAATGGGTTATCGATGGAAATGGATTATTTGCGGTCACTTTTGACTGCAGTTGCGACCGTGTCGTTAGATCAGGATTGATCAGGATTGCAGGATTGCCTGTTGTTCATTTATGTGCGAAAGAAGCCATTTCCTAGTTTTATGTTACTACATTCCATATAAGTTCAAATTTTTGATCATGTTCCTTCACCGAGTGGTTGACAGACCCTTTCCTGTGTCTAAACCATTAGTTGCTTGAGGGTTTGGCTTTCCAAATTACGGCTGCTATTATTTGGTTGGGAGGCAAGTTTGTACCTCTTTTTCTTCTTTCAGGTTGTCACCGCTTCTGGTCTCGGGTCTTTCTCTAGGGGTAGGGTTTTTTTTGGCTCTGTTGTTGCCTGGGTTTTGTAGGTTGGGTGGCTTTTGTTTATTACCCTTTTGATCTTAGAATATGTTAAGCTTCTTCTTGCTTTTATCTGAACAGCATTTGAGTTTAATATATGTTAATAAATGGGTTGTATTTGAGTATGATGGGGTTTATTGATTCACTGTCAGGTCAAATCTATCAATTTCGCCCGAGGAAAGCTGGCTGCCTATTGCTAGCATTCTCTTCTGCATTGTTCACATTCAGGTTTAAGTTTAGCTTATCCCACCGTTTATATTGTTGTTACATTTTCCTTACTATGCTCATTTACAACTATTGGTTTTTCGATTTTTGAACTTTGTTTAGCAAACATATTGCTTATCTGACAAAAAACTAAGACTTTCGGATTGCTTGATCACGAGGCTTGAAAATATCAAGTGTCAAGCTGTTTGTCGAAGACAAATCTTTTGAAATGACACTTTTTATTGTGTTTGAACTTTTGGTAATGATAGATTAACTTACATTGCAGCTGGAAGCAAGCATAAAAAACGGAGATATCCAAGGGTTTCAACTATTTAGTAACATTATGGATCAGCAATCATCTGGTACAAAGAAGAAAGGCCGTTTGAATCGGTATCAAGATATGTCTAAGGTACTTTCCTCACTGCTAAAATAAAGTCGTGCATGATGTCCTAATGTAAATAAGATGTGTATTTCTGTTGAAAAGTTATATTTCATGGATCTCAATTTTCAATTGTTGTAAATTGCGATTTAGGGAAGCAAGAATGAAAAGAAAAACCTACCATCTGCCGAAGAACAATCAAGAGACATCAGGGGTTGGGAAGATTCTGAGAGGCCTTTAGAATACAAACAACACTTGAATGACAGCATAGACGATGATGGCGAAAAGAGGAGCAATCGCTAAACTACGAGATACATACATTTTCAGATCATCCAAGAACAACTGAAGAGGAATATCCACACAAGTTTCATACCTGATGTTAGTACTGTATGTAAAGCTGTTCGGTTAGTTTTTAATAAAGTATAGGTCATTATCTGAATGTTGTTATGTTATGATCGTAGATTCTTTTCACAGTTGGTGTTCAGCCCATGGTTATTTACTGGACTATATTAAAAGTGTCATTTCCATTTGCCTTATAGTTAATCGGTTTTGTTTAACAAAATAAATGGCAGAGCTTCACCAGTTATTTTGCTCAGGCCAAATTCAGGAAGTGATTTTGTAGGGTTGAAATTAAAAACTTCTAAAACACAAGGTATATATGGCCTTGTTAATGTTGGTCCATTAAAAATATGCATGTGTTATAATCAACTCATTCAATCACATTCGTCCTTACCTACCAACAAACAACACTGTTAGACTATTTAGTTGCTACCACTCCTTAGTCATAACATTAAATGCCAATAGCTCAAGTAGCTTTCCATTAGCGCCATCAAGAAGCTCAAGGAGACACACCTCACCTCTGTAAGGGGCTAAGTTACACTTTGCTAACAATTCTGTGACTTTTTCCGTTTAGTGTTTTTATTCGAGTTAATCTAACTGTTGAGATTTATGCTGAAGTGAGTGTATCATAGGGGATCATAGTGAGTGTTTCACAGGGCAAGAGAAAGTTTCTCTTAATAGATATTAGTTCTTTAGGCAACCTTTTGGTATTTTGAAAAAGGACAAGTTAAACTGAACAAAAATAAATGAATCAAATTATCAATTATACCTCCAAGTGAAACGAGCTTTCCTTTCCAGCTAGACAACCTCCTCATATTTGTCAATATTGATCCAATGCTATATAAATATTTGATTTTTATATTTATTTTGTGCACATCTAACATATAGGGCCCCGTTTTAGATTTTTAAAAATTGATTTTTTTATTAAAAAATTTAGAGATTTTTTAAAAAAGTAGAAGCTAATTTAGGTTTGTTTGTTTCCTAACACTTACCGATAATATCTAAAAAAATTTACGTCATACTTTTACTTTTATCTCTGTATCCGTACATTTTATAAAAAATATCAATTTTACCCTTATATATTTTTAATTAATTTATTATTTTATTTTTTAAATATTTTTAAAATTTATTTTGCATATTAGAAGACTTTGCAAAAGAGTTCTGATATATAAAATAAAAGTTAAAAAATATTTTAAGAAATGACTAAAGAAACTCTTTTTCAAAGTCTTTCAATACACAAAATAAAAGTTAAAAAATATTTTAAAAAATGACTACAGGAATTCTTTTTCAAAGTCTTCCGGTACACAAAAATTGACTACCGAAACTCTTTTGCAAAGTTTTTCTATACACATAAAAAAGTTTTAAAAAATGACTACCGAAACTCTTTTGTAAAATTTTTCGGTTCACAAAAATTGACTACCGAAACTCTTTTGCAAAGTTTTCCGATACATAAAAAAAAGTTAAAAAATGACTACCCAAACTCTTTTGCAAAGTCTTTCGGTACGCAAAATATAATTTAAAAAATATTTAATAATAATAATAAATTGGTCCAATATACAAGGCTAAAATTTGTATTTTTTTATAAAATGTAGAAGTATAGGGATAAAAGTAGGGATATGAGGTAAAAAAATTTAATATGGGTGACAATTGAATCCATTAAGACAAAATTTATCAATAAAAAAATTTATATAATTCATCCACCACATAAAAAGTAAATTGATGGATTGAACTAAATTCATAAATTTACATGCATGGATTGATCCAATCCATCAAATATATTTTAATGATCTAATGAATTATTTATTTTTAAAAATCATAAAAAGTGTATTTTTTCAAAAATAAAAAAAATTATTTTTTTCGAAAATTTAAAAAAATCAATTATTTAAAAAATACAAAAACTCAATATTTTTTCGAAAAAAAATTGTTTTTTTTCTGAAAATACAAAATAATTGATATTTTTTTAAAATTAAAAAAATATTGTTTTTTTAAAAATAAATCAATGTTTTTTCAAAAATATAAAAATATTTTTTTGAAAATAAAAAAATTAATTTATTTCAAAAATAATAAGAAAATCTTTTTTTTTTAAATTTAAAAATATCAATTTTTTAATTCATTAATAAAAACACAGTTTTTGAATGGATGAATATCCCTCCACTAAAAATATATTACTAGATTGATTTGATGAATTTTATCTTTAACAGATGAATTGGATATGATACTTTTTAGAAATTTTCAATGAATTGTTAATAGATTCATGAATTGTTTTGATTAATCAATTAATAATTCATATCCATTCAATTCATCCATCTTCACTGGTCTAAATTCAATACAAACTCAAAGGTAATTACAATGGAATGTTGCAATTTAAACTACATTGCAAACTTAGTAAACAATTTAAAATCAACAAACAATATAAGAAAATAGTTCAATCTCACAAGGCATACAATTAACAAACAAACAACTCTAAACAACTTAATCCAACTCAAGACAACATGCTGTTGCATTTAAGTTCATACGAGGTTAATAATACCACTGAGAGGAAAGTGTGTTATCAAGGTTTTTTAAGGTCTTTAAGCCATAAATTTCAGAAAAAAATGCATGATAATCAAGTGGTACATTGATTTAAGGTCTTTTCGTGTTTTTAGATTTTCATTATCTCTCTCATCTCTGGCAAAATCATATTTGCAAAGCTACTTGGATCAGCTTCTCATTTTTAACCAAAAATTATTTTTTTAACATAATCATTTTTAAAAAAGTTTGAAACAAACACTCTTAAAATTGTTAGAAATGATTTTTTAACTAAATAAATAATTTTTTTTCAAAAAAAAGCTGTAACAAACGCAGCCAAAACTGTTTATTTTAAATCAATTTTTCTGTTTCAGATCTTATTTTTTCCATAACATGATAAACTCACAACATGGAGTATGTCGTATAGTATAATTTAATAAAAATAATTTAGTCTAAACCATTTTATTCATAGAGCCCAAAAAACGTGAGATGTTACTTAACTTATGGGTTTTAGTTTAAATCAGAGCACTAAAATACAACATTCTTTATGAAGAAGAATAAAAATCAAGAGATTTAACAAATTATTAACAATATTTGTAAAAATATAACACTTTTCAATCAAGTTATAGTCGAATCATCTAATTATAAAAACTTCAAGTTTCATATGTATTAGCCCAATTTTGGAAAATAATTTTCAAAAAATTAACAAAAAGTTGTCCTTAAAAATAATTCAAATTGTTCTCGTTTAAACATTTTTATATAAATATTTATTATAAAATGCATTTACTACCACATTTTCTAATAAGCATATTAATAATAGATTATAAATATGTAAGTGCGTAATAGATTTATAACTCCTGAAACTTGTAGAGTTTAGGGGTTGGTAAAGATAGTTCGAATTATGTAGTGTCGCTATTATGAAGAAAATTTGAAGAGACTACACCATAAACTCAAGCATTACCATAGGTCTAATATTAAAGCTGCATAAAAGCAAAAGCAAAAACAAGCTTACATGCATATGAACGTAGTTCATGTCTAGTTATGTATAATAAAAGCTGTCTCAAGTCCAAACTCTTCAAAGAGCATCAACCTGCAGTGCAGTCTGTGCACACTATGAAGTTGAGCACAAAATATACACAAGCTAGAATAACCACACACTTGGCCGGTCACAAGTACTGCCCTTATTTATTAGTGTATAGACACACGCATATACATATATTATATCTTCTAAAGGCGAGGATTATAAAGTATTAAGGATGAGAGTGGGGCTTCTCCAAGTCCTCAAGGCTGATGGGGCGAAACCAAGCCTTTTCCTCAAGCACTGAGCCTCCAGCAGCAACAGCAGCAGTTGCATCGGCAGTGGAGGCTGAATGGAAGCCAGCAGTGACTTGCTCGCCTGGGGGCCCAAATACCCCAGTCTGTGGGTGTGGAGCCCAGTATTTGGTGGATTGAGTTGCCTGGATCACATCATCAGGGACTGGCCCGGAGTGGTTGTGATCATCCGCGTTCTTGTCGTACAATGAACTGTATGCTGCCCTCCTGTTTTCCAACGAAAATTCATCAATTTTCGGCCAAAAAAAGGAACATAAGACCTAACTAATTAGATATTAACTCACATAAACTAGATTATCATTGAAGCATTTTTAAAGTTCTGTAAATAAAAAATCTATTCATCTTTGACAATTTTTTCCTTTACTGTGGTGACCAAGAGATCAAATCATAAACAATAGCGGCTGGATATGAATGAGTCATCTACATGGATGGTTAGATGTCAAAGCAAAGATTAGTGATCACGTGATGGGTAATATTAATTCGACCTTAGTGCGGTTTGAACTACCGAGTAATTCGCCTTCTTTTTGCAATTTGTATGAATTTTTTAATAAAAAACACACTTTTATATATTATACCAATTATTGAAAACAAACTTATTTAAAAAATATCTTAATAAAATTAAGTATAAGTCAAATTTAGGTCGAATGCCATAAATTGACATTATGCACACACATCTACCTATAAGAAAAGATAAGATAGACATATGCGTCTTAAACAGCACCTTATCTATATGTGCACAACTTTCTAGAAAATAACGGACGAAATTTAGACTTCTAGCTACACCATAGCACATTCCCCACCCTATCCCTAACGGACAGCCACACCCCCACCGTGACCGCCTTATCCCCACACCCTTGTTGAAAATAGACAAATAAATTAAAAATAGTCTATAGTCATAACAGAGTTGTCATTAAGTATATGAATTTTCAAAGAGTTTATAACTTGGACAGGTTGTTATGCACCGAAGAAATACATATAGAACTTATAAGTAATAAATAATCAAAGTTTTTAGAATATGGTATCATGCGCTTCGCGAGGGTAAAAAGTAAAAGGGTCTGTATGAATTAAAGAAATAATAAATCCAAAAAGAAGATGAAGTAAAAGTAAAGGGTCTGTATGAAAAG